TAAAACAATTTCAGTGATTCTAAAGTTCATGAACAAACACCAAAGAGCTCTAATAGATCAAAACATGTTTCAATATGAATGACAAAGTTGTATTACTTGAATTTCCTAATTTCAAGATTTAGTGTAAAGTTACTGCACTCAAGCTAACCACTACTGTGGTTTGGATAGATAAAATGGTCAGTAAAATAGAATAGAAGATTCATCAGTACACCTATACATAGAGTCTACCAAAAAAATGTATGCATCAAGAATTTGTATAAGTACTTTAATACTAAATTCATTGAGACATTGTTAGATTAAAGTAAGTTACTTTTGGCCTCTACAATTATAAGAAGTGCTCAAAGTGGTAGCTATTAGCTTCCAGACATTTATTAGTATGGCAAACTGCTGATACAAACACACACACACAGACTCTATATATAAGCAGGAGACTCTTTGTTTTTTGGTTTTTTGAGACAGGTTTTTTTGAGACAGATGTAGTTGAGACTGACCTGGAACTCACTATGTAGTCCAGGCTGGTCTCGAACTCACAGCAATCCTCCTGCCTCAGCCTCCCGAGTGCTGAGATTACAGGCATGTGCCATGACGCCTGGCAAGACTCTTTGTTTTTTGTTTTTGGTACCAGGGATCAAACTAGACATTGAACTTGTGAGGCAGGCTTGGGGCCACTGAGCTAAATCCTGCCCTAGTAAGAGACTCTTAATAAAGATGCTAATTTAATTTAATGGACAAAAAGAAAATGCTCTTTTCAGCAAATATTACCAGAAGAGCTGGATATTCCTGAAGCAAAATAAATTTTAACCACTACCTGACTCCATACACAAAAACTAAGATTCATCTGAATTAAAATGTAAAAGATAAAACAGTAAGATGTCCCAGAAGAAAACATAAGATAGTATCTTTGTGATCTGTGGAAAAGATTTACTAGAAAAGATTATATACTAACTATAAAAGACTTTAAAATTTAGATTTTGAACCAGGGATTTAGCTCAGTGGTGCTGCTGCCTGCCTAGCATGTGCAAGGACCCCAGTTCAACCTCTGATACCCCCAAAAATTAATTTTGACAAAATGGAAATATTTTGTATATCATGATATTCTATCAAAGAAATGAAAGTTTGAGCTATACAGTGGGAAAATATTTGGAACACATATCAGACAAAGAGATTTCTTTTTTTGGTACCGAATATCAAACTCAGGTCCTTACGCTTTCAAGGCAGGTGGCATAACCACTGAGCTAAAACCCTGGCCCTCAGACAAAAAAATGTTCATTTAGAATACATAAATTAATAATATAATAGAAGAAAAGCAGAATATATATAAAGACTTTCAAATTAATAAAAAGATTATTATTCTACTATGAATTAAAGTGAATAATTTAAAAATGAACAAAATATTTGAACCAATATTTCACAAAAGAAGATATAATAACATATATAAAAATACCCATTAATTGACCCCAGGGTTTAGCTTAATGGCACCATTCCTGCCTTGCAAGCATAAGGTCAGGAGTTTGATCTCCAGTACAAAAAAAAAAAAAAAATCCATTAAGCACGCAAAAAGGTGCTCAAAATCATTAGTTATCAAGGATGTACAAACAAAAACCACAGTTAACTACCATCAGAATAACTAAAATAAAATTATAAAATAAGACTGACAAAACCAAACATCAGAGAAACTGTGGAATAACTAGAACTGATACTTTCTTATTGGGAATTAACTCTTCTGAAGCTTCTCTGATAAATTATTAAAATATGATCCAGAAGTCCTACTCATGAGATTTACCTAAGAAAAGCCTGATCTGCAAAATGAATTGAAAAGGGATATTCATATCAGAGGCCTAAAAGTGGGAACAAAGAGATAAGCAAAAGTAAAGATGTATAGTGTTACTCTCACTTGTGTCCAAATTGTTTCTGATCTTCTTACATAGATTCACAGGAAAAGAATAAAATCATCACTCAATGGCCAATACCATGTGCCAGAGGTATTTTAATCTACAGGATAATTATTAATCTAGTCTAGGCATCATAGCACATCTGATCAAAGCCTCACTTGGTTGAGATTGCAGAACTCATTTATTTCTCTCCAAGACCCATCTAGTTTATAAAGGGCCAGATTGATGTACTAAGTGAATACTAAGAGACCACAACCCGACATCTTTCAGACCTTTAAGAGTGTCATTGATCCATGCCATCTTCCTATCCATGCCCTGAGATGTAATAGTTTTTTTTCTGTCTTAGCTGGAGGAGACAGGGGTGTAGCAGTTTCCGGGATCTTCACAGGTGGACCTTCCTTTTGGTGAAGCTCTTACCCCAGAGGGCAGGGATCCAATATAGTTACATCCATTCTAATAGAACTCTCAAGAACTGAGAAATGACTGCTTTGTGCGTCTATAGACCCAAAGATACCACTGTGACCAAGGGCTTTGTAAAGACTCCATTATATTATCCAGGCATAGTAAGCCACTGATCCAAGAATTTTAATGAGAATTCAGATTCTGTATTCATTCACTTTCAAATATTTGAATTTTTCTCTTTCTGTACTCTATGCTCTCTTGAATAAATGGCCCTAGAGGTCATTTAGAGAACTGGAGGATCATTGATGATAAGTGGATATCTTATAGAACATGTTTGCAATAGTTCCCTTCCTCCTAGCAACACAAGACTCCTTCAGTCAAGGGTATCTGGACTGAGAAATTGGCACAGATCTGGGTAATAAGCAGAGAATTATGACTTTTAATTGAGGTAACTTCTTCAACCTTGTGCTCCTTCATTTTTTATTGTTTTCGGTCACATGTGTGCGATAACATTTTGGCTGCCTGTTTTGCTCTTAGGCTTGCATTATCCTATCAATTATCCTGTGACTTCTATGACTGCTCCTCTGATCTAGCTGGTTGTGACAGTGATTGCGGCTTCCTGACTTCTCAGGATTAACTGCCACGAGATAGGCACTGTTACTGCAGGTTTCCTTCATTCCCATCATTTCTGGCAATGTATCGTTTACTGTCATAAGTGTTTTTTAAGCATTCACTGTATACCCATGTCATACCTCAAAGTCAATAAATTATTGCTTATCCAACCTACAGTCCGCTTCCTTGTTCAAACATCTGAAAAATTCAGTCACACTGCTACTCCCCTGCCTCCTAACGGGACATAGATTTATTGATGAGACTCTTTTGATAGGTAGCCTTTTTATTCTCTTATCATGCCTAGTACAACCTGAGCCAGATTATGCTGGGAAAGGCATCAGACAGTGATATTGGTCAGCATCTGATAAAGACAGGAGAAAGACAGGAGAGAAGAAGAAAATAAGGGAGGTGCAGAGGGAGGGAGAAAGAAAGGAAGGAAAGAGGGGAAGAGGTACTTGGTCTTCGATTGCAGTAGAATTCTAAGCAATTTTAGCACCGCGGACAAGGAATTCTTGAACCAACGATAACTCAGAGAAATCACAGTACAGGCCTGCCTTAGTTTCTCTGTCCTACTCAACCTTGGCTGGGAGCAGCCCATAGAAAGTCTGGTCTCAAGTCATGAAATTAATGGTGATGGATTTCAGGGCATAGCTTCTAGAGCTGTCACTTTGCAGTAGGAGATTCATGACCATCACATCCCATCTCGGCTATCAGCTGAGATCGCTCCATTTGACAGCTGTAGGCTGGCTTGGGCACCAAAAGTGTGTGCCAAGTGAGCTGGAAGGGAGCTCTTCATCTCCTAACAGCCTTGTCCTGGACTAATACTGTTTATGCCTCCCCATTTTAATTCATTAACTGGAGCATAATTCCAAGTAGATTTTGGGGGTGTGGCCTTTGGAAGGTAATTAAGTCATGGGGATGAAGTTCTTATAAATGAGGTTAGTGCCCTTACAAGAAAAGACACAAGATTCCATTCGCATTCTTACCCCTCCACCGTGTGAGGATACAGTGAGAACATGGCCGCATGTGCAAAGAAAGCCAGGAAGAGAGGAAGGGGCTTTATCAGATACCAGATACCTTGGGGCCTTGCTCCTGGACTTTCTAGTTTCCAGAACTGGGAGAAATACATTTCTGTTGTTTAAGCCGCTCATCTACAGTACAATTTGCTGTTTTAACAGCCAAAGGAAGCCAAGACATTCGAGAAATCGTACACTCTGTCAGCCCAGACTCAGCAAGGAATCGGAAGGCCTGTTGTGGAGAACAGCTCCACAGTGGGTACACGATATATAAGAAACACGTGTCTCCTACAAGCGACTCTTGTCTTTGTGCTCTTCACAGGATTCGTCTTTTGAATCCTTCAGAGCTTGGCCTACAATAATAACTCACGGGCTTTTGATTTATTCTTAAGCACTTTAGTGTATGTTTTAGAAAACATTTTTTCCTCAGTACTTTTCACTAGATTGCTTTTAAACCTATTTTTAATCTGTAAAATTTTAATTTCTATAGATCATACAGGGCACTTGGATAAAAGTATATCATCATTTTCAAAATAAATCTTAGTTCAAGGAATCCCTACCGATAGGGCACCAATTGGGATTTTCCTCCTAAAAAGCTGAAAGCATGTCTTCAAATGTTTTTCATAACTCAACTATTTATTTTCATTATCCTTAGTCATGGAATGGTCTTTTGAAAAAAATTAAAGTTGTTTATAGACACATTTCCTAGCTTAATAGTAATAAACATTGTCTAGTGTCAATTTTAGAAAAGGAAATGTGTAGAACATTTGGTATTTCTTCATCTTAACCCATCTTTTCTGTTCCACTGTTTGAAACTGTCTTTGGGCAAGGATGGCTTTGGTGACAGAGGCAAGGGAGTGCCTCCCCTTTCAAAACCACACATGCTTCCTTACAAAAATAAAACTCGAAGTCTTGGCTTAAATACAGCCAGGTTGGCTGTCTATAAATTCACAATCCATGTTTAACATAGTCCTCGTATTTGTGCATATAAGCACAAATTTCTCCCACCCCTTATCAAAGCAGAATTTGACAGTGAGGCTTTCCCCATGCAAAGGATTTACCCGCACTGGTGCAGACCTGGTTTGGAACATTTTATTGGTAATACTGGTGTAATATTTAGGAACCACAGACTTTTGTTGGACTTTTGTGTTAGCTTGAATGACAAGTATCAATGGTCAACTATATTTGAAATATGGTTAAAGTACCTAGAAATAATGGGCATTAAAATTCATTCCGTTCACTGCAACAAACCTCTAAAGACTTCATGTTCTCAGTGGAACTGGCATATTATAATTGTTATTTGGAACTTAATGTAACCTCAACAGCAGCAGAGAGAATACAGTTCTCTCATTATGCACATGCTCTAGGATCATTTATTTTAATGCTTTCAAATAAATATGTTCCATGCAGAGCACTACAATAAATAAGGAGCAGCAATGTTCTTCTAGAAAATCCATTCATAATGTGAGCCACCATGTAAAACACCACATCGCACGTCCTTGGCCGTGTACCATATCATGAGGCCCACCACATCTGCACCCAATCATATTTGGCTTCATATGGATTTAATAGGACTATGCCAAAAAGTGCACATAAGCACAAATTTTACCAGAGGTTTCCAGCTAATAAACACAGCTACGAAGTAGTTAAAAGGCAACAACTAAACCCGTAAATGTCTCCCACCCCTTTCATTTTTGAGACAGAAAGATAAAGATAGAAATGCTCTGGTGAATTTCAGGTCAGTGGATAGTGTGGGATACCTGGAGGAAAGCTGGCACAATATGGCACCCAAAACATCACTGTTATACCGATACTGAATGGATACCAAACACAGGATGGTGAGCTCTATAGCTCATAAAGGCTGGGCTACGATGGGGGGAGAAGGGGCTCATTTCTACTAGGCAGATAACTCCACTGCACTCTCCTCCTCGCTGTCAGCTCTGTTGGCACGAATTTCCACCAGGGTCCTGGCAAATCGCGTCCATTCATCATTGTGGGGAACTGCAAGCTGCAAAGCAAACCAATGAAGACATGATGAACAAGGTATCTTTTACATCTGCAAGCCTTGACACCTGCATGGTGACTCTTCCCAAAGCAGACATTTTCCTTGGAATGTAAAGGAAACCAAATATTGGTCTTCCTGTCAAGTGGGACCTAAAATGTTGCTCTTAATCTAACAATTGGGAAGAATAATGTCACTCTCAGAAGCAAAGTCACTTGGAATGAATAAAACTCAATTTAACTATACGTTCTTGGCTAAAAGCACTTTCTTAACTAAAGCATTTTTAGTTGGGTCAGACTTACAGTGAATCCAGCAAATAAAAACTCCGTTATTAGCCAAGATTTTGAAATAACTACCATTTTTTTTCTAGTCAATGCAATTGATCCCTTTTTCAATATGCCAATATACATGGCAAAAGAATAGCTCACATATGCAGGCAAATTTTTCCACTATGAAGTAATGCTCAGGTTTTTTTCAGCAAGACTTATATGATGATAACTATGAATAAGTGTAGTTCTAACTAGTATTTACCAAGGGTTCTATTATAAGTACTTTACATCTATTAACTCTTTCCTCACAACAATCCTAGTACAGTAATTTTATCCTACATATGTATAATGAAATGACCCTGTTTTATAGAAGAAATTCAGACACAGAAAGATTAAATAATCTTACTAAGGTTGCACAGCAAGCAAATAACAGTGTCAGTGTAATCTAGTTCCTTAGCTAGTATGCTCTACTAATTTGCCGTAAAGGGGGATTTATAAAATCTCCTAAATGATATTTCTATGTATATAATTCAGTGGGAAGGGACTAAGACCCCTGACTAATAAAAATTGCACATATGAATTTTTGTTAGCTGTTTAAAAAGGTAATGATTTCTCTGTATAGTATCCAAAAATAAATTGCTTGAATATATCAGGAAGTGTCTGGAGTACAAAAAAATTATTTAAAGATGAAAAAATAGGTTGTGTAGAAGTCTGAAAGCTATCTTATAGAATAAAATTGACTTAGACATTATAGTCATTTTCTTGGAGTTTTACCCTATAAGATGATATAATCAATCCTACATACTAGTACTACACATGCTATCCACATATTCCATAAATATTAAGAACGCATATTCATCACAATCTATATTCATACTTTTAAAATAAAAAAGAGGAAGCAAATAAATGTAAGCATTTACATTACTTGTACATCTGGAAACTTGCCCACTAAACAGAGCCAGATGATTAGAACTTTAAGTTTTTATTAAAAGGAATTATACTTTCAGATATCATGTCTCCAAGAAAACTTACTGGAGAGTGGTAATGTCATTCTCCAAAGATTGCCCTTTAACTTGTGTTTTAAGTGCTAAGGTTAAATGTTTCAAGAATATAATTCTGGAAATGATATACAGGTGGGGTATGTCTTTTGACTTGTTTTGAGAAATGCTATCAAAAGAATTCCCAGTCATATGAATAGGTTTTTGGGTGGTTAAATTCTAATCTACTTATATAAATGAACCAAAATTTCTTTTTCAGCGATGACACAAGTTCACAATAATACAGTGAATGCTTACATTTAAAAAAAAAACACTTATTACAGTAAAAGATACATTGCCAAAAATGATAGGATAAGTGTGCTTGAAGCAAGGTGGAGTGATATGAGTGGACTTAATGGTAATGCATTTTTTACTCTAAAAATTTTTAATTTTAAAATTCACATATTTTTATGATCCCCCCATTTCTCAATCAGTTTTTGTCAAATAAAAAATATTACAGTGCCCTCATCCACCTTATTCACTGGATCTGGCACCTTGTGATTTCTGGCTCTTCTCCAAAGTCAAAATGACCATGAAAGGTAAATGTTTTCAATTGATTCAGGACATCACGGAGGCCATGACAACACAACTAAAGATAATTACAAAAGAAGACTTTCAGAACGGCTTCAGAAAAGAACAAGAACGATGGGAGAAGTATATTTGAAGCAATGGGGAGTATCTTCAGGGAGATTCTTGGTGATGTGTAATAAATTTTTAAAAACTCAAACATTCGCCTATGTTTTTGTCTGTTTGTTTTTTGGTACCAGGGATTGAACTCGGGTCCTTGCGGTTGCAAGGTAAGCCACCGAACCGCTGAGCTAAATCCCCGGCCCCCATTCACCTATGTTTTGACCATACCTCGTATTGAATGACAGTATTACTTATTTGCTCAAATCACTTTTTTTTGCTTTGAGCTCTTCTCTTATATGTCACACTCCTCAATCTTGTGTTCAGTTTTAAATAATACTGCACTAGGGAAATGACCCCGAGACCCCAAGTAAAAGATACAAAAGAGCTAAACAAAAATATAAGCAGCCAAGGGTTGATATTACATTTATATTATAGATCCACTATTTATTTTCCTTCTTCTAGTACCTGACCAAGTTCTTCCAAACAAAACAAAGCAAAACAAAACAAAAAAACTACAAGACAAAGCCTAAGTAGAGTCAAAAGTCCAATCACGATAAAACATTTATAACTTTTTCTCATGTGAGGTGAGAATAAAGCTACAGAACTTCAGAACTTCATTAACTTTAAATATAGGGAAACAACAGGTATGAACATATAGCATATTGCTAATACAGAGCTAAGTTTGTCTCCCAAACATAAAATTATAGTACTGGTTAACATAGCAGAAATTTAAATTAATATACGATGTCCTGAATAATGCTTTACTGATAGCAATACACAGAAATTATATGCTAAACAAGAAAACAGGGAAATGTGTTTATATCATTAATGGATTAGTAATGGAAAGACTGTTAAAAAGGTTATAGAATATTGAGGTTTGAAAATGTGCCCAGATAAACTTACGGGCAGAATTAAATATCATTTATGCTATATAAAATTGTACATCTAACTTCTCAAAAAGGAATTTTATCAAATCTTAATGTTTCTGCTAACTAAACTCATCCAATAATTAAACTATATTTGACCTCTTTTTGGGGGTGAGACTAAGTCTATTCCTATACCAGCACTTTTCCTGAAAAATACTGACTCATGCTCATATAAGTATTTATAGCATTTGAACATATCTTTCCTCTTTTTTGATCTGTTAAAGTTTTACAAAGCTTGGCAAAATATTAGGAACTTGTTTTTAAAGTGAATTTGTTGCCAAGTCTTCTCTCTAGAATACTACCATAAATGTCACAGAAATAATAATTTGTTTTGTTCACACACACAAAATTCTAAAGAACACGACAAAAACACAAATTGCTTTTAGAAAGTTGGAATAAATGTATCGATCTCATCCTATTATATCTTTTCATCAGTTGACTATAAAAATAACCCAAGCTGATTGTAATGTTAGATGTAGAAAGTAAACTGCAGACTGCCCCATTTTTAGAATTAAATATCACCATCAGGAAACACTTCAAGTGTAATCTTGACTTGAATGTGTGAATGTGTATTCACAGTCTGTTTTCATGCCCACAGTAATAATTTTTGGCATTTGAATTGCTTGTAGGTAAGACCAAACAGGTATCCTAAAAAACAAGAAGGCTGCTCTTGTCTCTTTACATCTAAGGCTATAAACAGAATTTTTTTGGATAGAACTGTCCTCACCCTTGGGAGTTCCTGACTCTTCTCGCCTGGTTCTCTCTAATTAGAAAAAGCTAGAAAGGAGGCTTCAGGCTTTACGTGTACTTGAAAGTTTCCATAGGAGTTTTTTAAGCCAGTAATACCTCCAATCACTGTAGGAAAATATTTCTTCATACTAAAGAATGAGATTGCTCTTTGTCCTAACTAGCATGTAAACTTATTGAATATTCAATCTGCATTGATTGAATCCTAATTGTGTATCAGCCACTGTGTGATACAGGCAGTGGTGAATTTTTTATAATACAGTGGCTACAAAGTAGAGGTGAAAATTAATTATGCTTTCTAGGTCAAAATGTGTGAATATTGGCATATTTTTTTTTGAAATATCACTGACACTCATAAACATGAATGCACCCTCCTACAGTGACAACTGAGATATTTCCATTCCCTGATATCTGTTTTGTACCAAGCAAGTAGCAGGGAAGCAAATGGCATGTTAATAACATTAATTCAGCCTCTCTTCGAGTTTCTATCCAGACATCAAAGGCTAAATCTAGAGCATCAGAGCATCACAGGGGCTTTTCCCCCTGAAGGTAATAGTTTAGAATAATTTCTAAACAATTTATATTTTTGATAGGAAAAATATTCACAGGTTTCCAAGGGTGACTAATACTCTTGATCAATTAGAAAATAGATAAGAAGCAATAAGAATAAAATAATACATAGTTAAAGGGATATCATAAAGAAGGGCTTGGGAAAATTGTCCAATATTGTTTTGAATCAAAGAGGATCTGGAAACGTGTTCTGTCCTTAGATGCATCTGCTGAAATCACATCAGAGGTCAAGGATGATTCATATTTTCCCACTGCTCCTTAGAATAGAGTTCACCAACAGCCAGTCCTCCCCTATTAGAGGACCACTCTCTAATGTTTTGCTTAACCTATAAAAGCATTTTTAACGCCAACAGCATTCAGGGCCCTTATTCCCAACACAAAAATCTTGCTCTAAGAGTTACCCCTTGTTATAGCTCTGATCCGACCCTATTTTTCCAGGGAACGAAGGCCAGAGGCAGTTACGGAGGCAGCAATTTGGCCAGAAGGAGGAGGTAAAATGAACCTCAGAGTTGGGACGCGAGACTCAAGCCCCGATCTCCACTTGGCTGCTGCCAATGGCCAGTCACTTAACCGCTCATTGCTTCAGTTGTAAGACGAGGACGATGAGGCTGACCATTTATTAACAGAGGTCTGGAGAGGATGAGAAAAGTCGTCAAAGTGAAGAAGTACGGAGTGCAGCACAAACTAGCCATGTGTCCTTTATCTTTAAATTGTCACTCAGCGGAAACAGATACTTAGAAAGCAGCATGTATGTGGCACAATATCAATTCTGCCACATTTTTTTTCAAATTTTTAAAGGACTTTCTTCAAGAATTAATTAAATCACT